TATATATATATATATATATATATATATATATATGTATATACTATATAGAGCTTATATTCTCGCTAGATTTGTTGCACTTCTATTGTTGTTGTTGTTGTTTGGATTGAATTGTGTTTCCGTTTGTTTCTTATTTACTTATTGAACATGAATTGAACAATTGAGAATTTGAAAAACTAGATGAAAGCTTTGTCGAAACATTTCGGAAATACGGAACCATCATGTTTGTATGTATGTATGCTATATATTATATGTATGGGAGACGTATGTAATTTGATTGTTCTTGTTGTTGTGGTTTTTATTATTATTATTATTGTTGTTGTTGTTGTAGTTGTTGTATGTGAGCAAGTCAGAGAGAGAAAGAAACACAGTTACAAATAGAGTCAAATACTTTGGTTTGTTTTCCCAAAGAACACACACTAGTATCAAAAAGTTTTCATAGTTGATGCAGAAAAAAATTACAGAAAAAAAAACGGAAACGTAAAAAACATATGATACTAAACAAATTGTATGTCTGGTATTTTTTTGGTATTTTGTATTTTTGAAATTTTGATTTGTTTTGTATTTGTATTTTTTTTTTATTGAATTGAATATTTGTTGCAGTACCTCCCAGTCTTTTTTCCTGACTTCGTATTCCAGATCCCATTTCTGGCCTTCACAAATATACATACGCTCGTAATATTCTTCGCAAATCTCTTGCAATTCGCCTGTAAAAACATATTTTTGTTGTTGTTTTTCGGTTTTTGAATGGATTTTGTTTTTCGTTTTATCATTTTGTTTTTCATAATCGACGAATCTTAGGATACTTTTTTTTTTACATTTATGTATGCATGATTTATGGTTCATATAGTATTTTATACAGTTCTATAGATATATATATAGATATATATCATATATCATCTATTTAATTTTTTAAATATATTTTTCTTTTCTTTTTTTTTTAGATGTTATGTGTTCGGTAAGAATTCTACCTGAATTTGAATAGATTTTGACTTGGAGTGATTTTTAGTTTAGTTTTTTTTTTCTTTTTGGAATGGGGCGCAACGTACGGAAACTGAGAAATGTCTTGGCTGTAGTTGTTAATGTTCTTGTTTTTCTTTTTGGTTGGTTATGGTTGGTATCGGTATCGGTATTGTGGGTTATACGTAAATTAGAAACGCTGTCAACTGGGCTCGATTACTGATAGATCAAGCAGAAAATCAAACAGAGAGCGAGAGAGAGAGAGAAAGAAAGAGATATAGAGAGAGAAAGAGAAAGAGAGAGGATGCACTCATTTTATACGTATATAAAATTGTTGGTATAGATAAATATATGTACATATATATTTATAGTACAGTTATATATAATCTCTAGCCCAATTGAATAACGTTTCAAATTTTAGAGATTTTTTTTTTTTTTTTTTGAGGGAATTTCCCAAACGCATAGTTCAAAGCACGCGCCGATTTTCTTTGTTTTTCATTTTGCTTAGTATCGTGCGCCTTATATATTTATATATATGTATGTATATATGCAATTATTAAGTATAAAAAGATATATCTGGTGTGTATATATATAAAGAATAATAAGAGTAATAATAATACTTTTTTTAATCTATTTTGTTTTTTTTTTTTTTGGCTTTGTACTTTTTTTGTTGTAGTTTAGCGCAGTTAAGAACAATATCAAAAATTAGGCTTAAGTTCAGAGTAAAAAGAACTAAAAAATTGCGATTAAGTTGAATTAGGGGCAGATAATTATATAAAGAAATAAAAAAAAAATAATAATAATGATAAAAATAATAATAAATCTCATTATTATTATCAATATGTTGGCAAATATACATATATATGTATATGTAGAAACATACATATATATATTTTCATGAATTAAAACTTTTGTATTTGTTTGTTTTTTTTTTTTTCAATAGATTTATATAGTAAATAATAATAATAAACATTCACATATTGGTTGCTCTTGTATTTGGTTTCTTTTTTTTGTTTGGTATCTTGTGTGCTTGGTATTTTGTATGGTATTTTGTTGAGATTTGTTTTGGTTTTGGTTTTGATTTTGGGTTTCTTGTTGGGAAATTTACCTCTTGCGCTTTGAGTTTCTGCACGTGCTCTAAATCAAATTTATCGCCCTCCAATTCGTAAAGTCGTTGCCAATATTGTTTGCATATTGTTTGCAGTTCGGCTGCGGTAACGGTAAACGGTAAGCGGTAAACGGTAAACGGTAAACGTTAAACGGTAACGGTTATAAATAAACGTCAATCAAACGTTCAACGCGCGCAATAGTTCGTGTGTGTGTGTGAGAGAGAGAAAGAGAGAGAGAGAGAGAGTGTGTGTGTGTGTGTGTGTGTGTACATATGTGTGTATGTGGGTATATGTGCCAAAAGAGGCGCAAATAGATCCGGTTATAAGAATAAATAAAAACAGAAAGAGATAGAGACAGAGAGAAAGAGAGAGAGAGAGAGATAGATAGAGAGAGAGAAAGAGAGAGAGAGAGAGAGAGAGAGAAAGTGTGTGTGTGTATATTTGTAATTTTGTTTGTTGTGAAAGACGTTTAGAGAGTAAGAGGTAGAGTGAGAGGAAGAGATAAAAAGGGAGAGAGAGAGAGAGAGAGAAACAGCGAGTGACAGAGACGCACATGTAACGCGCGTCGTTCGGCGCGTATCAGAAAAGAGAAGGAATATATTTGAAATTAATACGTAATAGAGATTGAGCTTTATCCTTAGCTTTACGATATATGTACATATATAATTTTTGTTTTGATTTATTTCTTTTTTTTTTTTTGGAACACCTACAATTGTTGCATATACATAAATACATAATAATTGTGCTTTGATTGCTTCAATTTGCTTTAGTTATTTTTATTTTTGTCGTTTCAATATTTTGTTTGATACTTTTACATTTTACTTTGTTTGCATCGGTTTTTTTTTCAGTGTAGTGCGCTTTTTTGTTGTTGTTGCTTTTGTGTGAGTTGGGTGTCTGTTATATTTGTGGTTGTTGTTGTTTCTGTTGTGGTTGTTGTTCTTGTGACTGTAGCTGTGGCTGCGTGACTGTACTTTGTTTATGTGTAGGCGGCCCTGCTTATGAGCTATATGAACGAGTGAGTGGGAGCGAAGTACGAAGTTTACTCGCTGCCAGCAGAGCAACTCGCCAATTGACTCGCTACTTTTTTTTACTCGCTGTGAGACCTACTCGCTACTCGTGGGCCGTGTAGTCGACCTCTACTCGCTATTGGCTAAGTACTCGCTGCTCTATTTGCCTACCTATTTAGCCCCCTAGGTGGTCCCTCAGAGCGTTACTCGTTATTCGTTGGTCGTTGTGCGTTGTTCGTTGTAGTTCAATTAGTAAAAAGCTGTTTGCAAAATACAAAATACAAACAAAACAGCTGTACTACGACAACAAGACGACAACGAAGCCATTGATAAGAAAAAAACGTACTTAAGCTAGTTAGGAATTCGTTATTAATCTCAAAAAAACGAGAGAGTGAAAAATAAAAGCCACAAAAAGCAAAATATTGGCCAAAAATTACATATAATTATAGATAGGTAGATAGATATATGGATAGATAGATAGATACTTAAGAGCTAAGAGGTAAGGTCAAAAGGCAGTAACAACAGCGTGTATTTGGCATTGTTGTTGTTGTTGCTTGGGTTTAGTAGAGGCCGCGAGTTAGTTGAGGACCGTCGAGCCGACATTGAAGTCGTTCAACTATCCATTTAGCAATCGGGTTAGTTGGTTATTGGCACTACGTCTACGGGTGTTATTACTCGTTTTATATACTCTTTATACTATCGCCCAGTATGTCGAATGGGTGATTGGACAAATTTTGAACGGCGCTCTCTTGATCAATTGGTATTCAAAACTTGTACGCGGGCCTCTCTTCCATATGAAAAATCAAAATCATGGAAGAGATCCAGATGGCAAAAATTTCAGTGAACGGAGCTCTAAATATTATCTACGTTTACTCTAACTAATCGAGGGCTACGATTGGCGTAACCCCTGCCGGGAACACACACACACAGACTGGCCGCCAGGGGGCGTTTTGGTGCGGGCATCTCTGGAATATTTTCATATATCTTTCAGGTGCTGCTCACAGACTATGTTTGCTGTCCAGAGTGTGTGTCTGGACCCATGTTATTAACATTTCTTTGTTGTCGCAAAGAGCAAAGAGAACTAAATCAAACTACGAAAGATTCCATCGATCTCTAGTCGAGTTATCTAGTTCCGCATCGCTTGGAGCTTGGAACCAATCCGATTAGATCGAGAGTGAGAGACAGAGAGAGAGAGAAATAGAGAGAGAAAGAGAAAGTTATGGGTGCAACGCTTGCCTCAAATTCCTTTCTGGCTACCTCGCGCTCCACATCGTATTTCTCAGACTCCAATTTCAGTACCTTACTGTAATAATCCTGACAAACTTTCTGTAGTGTATCTGCGAATGTGAAAACGAGTGAGTTTTGGATTTTGTTGTTGTTCTGCTTCGCAATTCTCAAGTACTGCACGAACTGCAGACGAGCGGGTGTGTGTGTGTGTGTGGCTGAGTGGGTGTTCGGTGGCTGTGTATGTGTGTAAAAGAAGAGGGCCAAGTGTGCTTTGCATTTGTATGTGTGTGTGTGTGTACTTGTAGTGAGAGAGAGACAGAGAGAGAGAGTAGTCAAGTGAGAGAGAAGAGTTCTTTACAAAGAGAAAGAGAGCTTGGACCAAAGAGAGGAAGAGAACTAAAGAGACAAGAGAGACTTTAAGGGCGCTACAGCTAGATCTGTAGCATCGATTACCTTGAATTACCACAGCAATTACATTGGTAATTACAAATAGTAATCGAAATAATTAGGTAAGAGTGGCTTCAAATGCTGACAACAAAAGTAACTCAATGACTTGAGCTACTGGGCACATAAGTACTTACAATTACTCTGGTAATTAAAAGGAATTACGCAAGTAATTAACTAGGTAAATTGCAGCGGGACCAATAGTACGCCAGTTAAATTATGATAACCATATGGAATTAGGCTTACGGATTAGAGAAAAACGAGTAGATATATAGATATTGTATATATATATGTATAGGGGGAGTATATAAGAGGGTATATGTATGTACAAGGACTTTGGTTTTAGTTTTTAGTTTTGTTGTTTGCTTGAGTAGAAAGAATTTACTGTATACAAAATGGATTTGTACGAGAATTAAGTGTATTATACAAATATAGTTAGACAGCAATAGAAATATTTATATAGAGAAAGAGAGACAGAGAGAGAGAGAGAGAAACATATATTTATATATATATATATAGCTGACATTAGCTATTGATTTGTTGCTATTGCTGTAGCTGCTGCTGCTGTTGTTGTTGTTGTTGTTGTTAAGCGTTAAATTTTGTTTAGACTTTTGATTTTGATATATAGATATATAGATATATTTATATAAGAGATTTAGATGTGGATCGCAGGATATATAGATAGGTAGATAGATAGATACATATGTAGATAGATAGATTATGTAGTAGATATGTGCGTGTACCTCAACATCCTTGCGTTTAACAACATACTCAAGATCATATTTCTGGTCCTCCAGCTTACAAATCCTGTCATAATGTTGCTTGATCAGGGATTTCAGTGTGTCTGTGTCAATCAAAGTTCGGATTTGGCATCATGACAAAACACACACAGATACAGAGAGATAGATATGTAGACATTGGTATATATATATATGTATATATACATATTGGGTTACATTCGATATGGTCATGGGTGTGTGGGTGTATAGGTGTGTAGGTGGTGGTGGTGGTGTGTGTGTGTGTGTATATATATAGGCAGAGACGGTCAACGGAAAGTGTGGGAGGAGAGAGACAGAGAGAGATAGATAGAGAATAAGTGATATATATTTCAATAATATATGAGCATGTGTGTGTGTGTGTGGGAGGTGTGTGTGTGGGTGTGTGTGTGTGTGTAAAGCGCAACTTGTGTTTGTTTGATCTTTTTTTTATATAGTGTATGTATGTGTGTGTGTGTGATGATAGATGACACTTTTTGTAGACTTTTATTGTTTATGTTTCCATTTGATTGGATTTTATATATTTTTTTGATTTCGTAAGCTAAAAACTGCAAATAAAATCGATTTGAATTTTCTTTGCAGTTTTTCTTCTCAGTTTTTTTGTTCAACTTATTTGTTTATTCTTTTTTCGTTTATTTCATTCTTATGAGAATTTTTCTTGTTGAATTCTTTTGTTTTTTCTTTTTTCTTCTTCTCTTTTGATTCGCTTTCATTGATGCGTTTCGCTTGAACCGCTGGCACTCACCTTCGCTGGCATCGCTGAGATTCCTGGGGCTGCCGCAACGTTCTTCAATGATGCGTCTACGTTCAGCCGCTTTGCGTTCCTGCTCTTTCTTCAATTCCTCAGCGGCTTTCTTGCGCAGCAACAACTGAAAGACGATGAGAGGCCTGCATTAGTACTCGAACTGCCCACTAGGGGTGCGTCAGTGTTGCCACCTAGCTGAACTTTTGCACAAACTGACAAGAAGGGCTCTCAGTGTTGCCACCTGGAGTTGGCATCTGCTTGCAGTAATTCGAGCGCTGCCACTTGGGTAAACATTGCACATCTGGCAACACTGAGCAACATATGAACTGTTGCTCACATCTGGCAACGCTCAACACTACAGAAATTGCTCATTCCCCTCACTTACCCGGAGTTTCTTCTTCCTTTCTGGGGTCATGAAGCCCTTCTTGGCCTTCTTGGCCTTGGAGGCTTCCTCCATGCGCTTGCGCACCTCGGCGCGCTTGCGCTCGATCTCAGCCTGTTTAGCCTTCTTAGCCTGCAAACAGAAGCGAACACACAAATGTCAATTAGCATCGTAAGCGACTGCTATCGTTATCGCGAGTGGTTTAGTTATCGATAGAGAACATGTAGATGGCACACGCAGATGACGTGGGACTTGGGTTGCTTGTTGATTGGCGGCTGCGTGAACATTTCTTGGACTGGGCGAATTGGCGCTGGCGCCCACACACACGTACACCAGTGTACCTCCTCGGCCTTCACTTTGGGATCGTTGGGATCCTTTGGCGGGCCGGCGGGCGCGGCGGGTGCGGCAGCCGCTTTGCCGTTCGCAGCGGGCGCAGCGGCCGCTTTGCCGTTGGCGGCGGCGGCGGCGGGTGCGGCGGCGGCCTTTCCAGTGGCAGCAGCTGGAGCTGCGGCGGCAGCGGGGGCAGCTGGTGCCGCTGCAGCCTTTTTCTGCAAGTGCACAGAGAAGACGATAAACGATTAATTATCGAACAGTGTTTTGGCAGAACGGAAAATAAACATAGAGAGCAACGACGCTACACGGATAGCACAACGACAGAACGAACAGTGGACAATCGATAAACGACAATCGACAATCGATAACATTGATCACTTGACAGTTCGTCCATGGCAGTTGTGTATATCGGAGCTAGAGCGCCATCTGCGAAAGCAAGAGAAGCCAGCGCATGCGAGTAAAGGTTTAGCGCGCGCAAAGACTAAAGAGCTGAGCCTGGTTAATCGTGTAATTCATTTCGATTAGATTCGATATTTCCATTTGAATGATTCATTGAACTCACCTCGATCCAGTTGCGCCGCCTAGCAGTTCGCCAGCTTCCTGTGCCGTATGCCCCGTGCCTAGATCTCCCTAGATTTTGACGCTTTTCAACACTGTTTCAACTGCAATTGTGTATAGTGTTTGAGTGCCTTTCTGTGCGATTCTCAGCACGTATTCGATACTCACCTCACCTCATCATCAGCCATTTTGATTTGTGTTTTTTTGAGTTACTGCAAGTAGAAAGAGTTGAGCACCGAACGATGAGTGTGTTTTCAATGAATCCCAATGCAAATGCCGACTAATGCAAAAGCTCATCAGCCACGCACACGCACACACACACACACACACACACACACAGATTGCTAATAATGCGTGGGTGTTTGCCGACAGGCTGTCATTTAATTGGCTGTTAGCAGATGTTCCATAAATTCAAAATAATTAACTGTCTACACGCACACACACACGCACACACACACACACACACACTAGCATACATTGTCGGCGAGCACAGTGCGTATGCGCAATGCATATAAACGAAGCGATTACGTATACGGCATCGCTGGCGCACCGTATATGGGGGCAGTGCCTGCTGATCGCGCACTCTCGCTCTCTCTCCCTCACTCAGTCTCTCTCTAGCCTGGGTGTGCAAGCAGGACAACGTGTTTAGCCAACCATCCATATCCAATTACAGGCGTCAGAATGAGAGAGCAAGCCAAAGAGAGAGAGAGAGCCGGAGATTGAGAGAGGGAAAGAGAAGGCGCGCTCTCTATGCACTCACGCACTGTGAAAAGCTCTCTTTCAAGAGCTTTCCCAGCAACAACAACAACAACAACGGTGTGTGTTTTTTTATCACAACAACAAACGCTATGGTCTATGTAGGCTATATAAATACCGTTATTGCCAAACGAATCGAGCTAAAACCGAAGGTTGCGCCACAATTTCAAAGGCGTTTTTAGCATTCAATGGAAGAAACTGAGGCAAAAGCTTATGGAACTTTAGCACACATCTCTGAATGCCATGTAGAACAGATACGAGAGATGTGCTATAGGTATATATGTAGCAAATATATATGTATTTATCCACATTATATTCAAGTATATATAGCATAGATTGACTGTGCGCATATCTAAATAAAATACTTGAGCTGCCTTCGCATTGGAATATTTCGAATGCTTTTTGCAAAGTCCTTAGCTATATAGCTATATGATATAGTAAATAATACTGATCTACGAAAAATGTTTTATGTCAGCATAGATATATATATATATATATGTATAATACTATAAATACAATACATGCATATATATATAAAATATCTAGACCAAAGTATCTTGAATTTGTGAACTCTATTGAAAAGTTGTTGTAAAATCATTACGATCCTAGCTCTTTACAATAAAAGAAGTTGTTATTTAAGAGCTCAAAAGTCTAACTATAGCTAGAAAGAGTTAGAAAGAGCTAAACGTAGCTAAAAACGAGCTCAAATGGTAGATTAAGATTTTAATTTGAAAATTCAATCATTTCGGGTGCATTTATATAGTCTATAACTGGAAAACTATTTGAATTAACTGATTTTTGCTACTCTCTATATAATTTCTAAAGATATTTGCTCCATAAGCTTCATAATTTCTTCGATTTTCATGCGAAAACGAAAATATTTCAAAAATTTAAATTCGTCTTCAGATCGAATTTTGTGGCTCTGCTAACTACGCATATGAAATATATACGCGTGTGTGTGTGTGTGTCTTTGTATGTGTGTGTCTCTCTGTGTATGTCTGTGTGTGTGTGTGTGTGTGTGTACAATGGCATATTTCTATTTTGGGTAACAGTTGTTGCTCTTGTTGCTGCTGTTGTTGCTATCGTTGTTGCTGTTGCCTTTGTTGTTGTTGTTGTTGCTATTGCTGTTGTTGTTGTTGTTTTCGTTGCTTGGCGCTGTGATGTTCGCATTGAATTGTTGCTGTTGCTCTGCCTTTGCCTCTGCCTCTGCCTCTGACTGTGGCTGTGGCTATTGCTCACACGAGTGTATCTTGTATCTGTCAGCTACATTTTTAGCTTTTGCACGCATACACATGCACGCACATACACACACATGCACACACATACACATTCCTTACATAATCGTTGCGTTCAACAACAATTATGAGAAAAGTTGCCGATAAAAAAAAATTGGATTCAAAAAAATCTGCAATAGGCTTTATCCAAAGTATCTGTATCTTTAACTGTAGCGTTTGTATCTTGTTGCGCTTTTCATTCAATTCTTGTGCGTTTCACACTTGAGCACTTGAAAAAAAATATTTCAAAAATATATATATCTCAATATATTGCAAAAAAAATACCAAAAAAAATACAAAAAAATATTGTTTCTTTTTTTTTTTGTCGAGGATAGTTAGGATCACGCGCACGTTTCGAGCTCGTTGTAGTTCGTGAAAAAGTTACATTTGGTGCACTCGAAAGATTCAGCAAAATTTTGATTTGATGTATTACAATTGGTATGCTTCTTCTTCTCGTTTTTGAATTTGGATTTGATTGTACGTTGAGTTGGGCTTTTCTTTCGTTTCGATATTGCGTGGCTGGTTCATGGTTTCAGTTACTTGGTTGGTGCGCCAGCAACCCACTCACCTTCAAGGAATTGGAAAAAAAATGAAAAAAAAACGTTGAGCGATGCTGTCGATCACACGAATCGGATGGTACTGAACGACACAAAAAGACTGAACGGTCCGACGATCCACGGCAGACTATATTCTAATGGCAGCCAACCAATGGATACAGATACCGATTCGGATTCAGATTCGGATTCTGCACACACACACACACTCGTCTACATATATGCATGTGTATATATATATATATATATGTGTGCCGCCCACCTGCCCGTCCTTCGGTGATTGCGTTTTTGTAGAGGGCGAAGGGGAACATGAGCGCGCTCTCTCTCTCTCTCTCTTTCGCTAGCTGGCGCTCGCTAAGAGAGCGTCTGTGTGTGTGTGTGTTTGTGTGTGTGTGTGTGCGTATTTGTATCTGTATCTGGGCGCACGGCCTAAAAATAGACGCCGCTGGCAACCCAAATCGAAATGGATACCGAAAATCTGTGTTGGCCACAATTCGTGCGCTCCACACTGAGCGAGAATCCGAGCAGCCTGTTGCAGGCGGCCAAAACACTTGGAGAAATCGCCGAAAGCCTCTATAGAGCTATATGTATAATTGTACCTATATCACATGCATACATACATATAGCTATATAACAATCTATCTCTCTCTCTCTCTGTTTGGCTGCCTGTGTGTGTGCGGTGTAAGCGGAGCCGCTTGGAATTCAATGCATGTGTTAAAAATAAGTTTGCTCCAGTTGAGCGCTGAGTGGGCCAGCAGGGGAGAGATTCTGGCCTCGACCGCACTCCCCCGGCCCCGTCTGCTGTTCCATATGCAATTGGCCAGGCATGGAGACGGCCGCAGAGCATTAGCCACGCACTATTCCCCAGCCCCAGCTGCTAATGCCCAGCCCTGGCCTCAGCCAGCCAAAGGCAGCTGCGCCACGGACTTCAGTCCGATATTCAAACATTTTCAATGTACAACCAACGTATTTTCCAGTTTCAAAAATAAAATTATAATATACGAAATGGAAATCTAGAGAAAACAAATATATATAGATGTATATTCCGTTTCTTATATTATAATTACATTTTTGAAATATATATTGAAAATAAACAATTTAAAGCTTTATGGTATATATGTATATATAGTAAACAGTTGAGATCTATGTGAAACAAACATTTGAAATAAATACACTAACCTATTTATATTCACACCAAGCTACAAACAAATTGAATTTGAGTCCCTTTCTACTCTTCTTCATTCTCTTCTGAATGATCCATGTTTCCATATTTCTTTAGCTTCATTTTCATCAAAAATCTCGAGAGCATACCTAGTTGATGAAGCATATTTACTTGTGAAATATCGATAGAAGAACCATAATACATTTGATGGTTTATTTGTTTTATTAGTTCGTAAACCCTCCTTCAACCGTATTTATCTCACTCAATTTGCCAATCGCAGTTTAATTATTCTTTGAGAAGGATCATAAGGAGAGACACTTTTAAGGGAAGACGGCAATTTTAACTGTTGGGGATTAAAGATAAGGGCTTGGCCTAGACCCCGGATTGAAAATTCAAATAATTTCAATGAAAATAGAAAATTTCGTATTAAATTTTTGGAAATCAAGAATTCTTAGGAAAAGAAAACAAAGGAAGAGTTAACATATACGCCAAAGGAGCTATCCAGATAAGGCGCAGATCATGATGTGAAGCTGGCTTTGACATTGATTTGAAATGCTCTACTCAAGAATTCCCAACTAGGAGATACGCGGCATACTGCCTATGAATGAATTCTAAATATAATTATATTATTATTTCAAAAATTCGGAAACTATGGTACTGCTAGTAAAAATTAGGGGGAATAAAGAAGATGTAAGTATATTAGTCATAATAATAGTAATAGGTATAACGTAAGCTCGAGTTATCAGAATGATAAATTAGAGAGAATCACGATGGATTATGAAAAATTGTATCTTTATACATAGGATACCAGACTTATCGTAATAAACAAAGATATTACAATGAAACATGAAATAATTTGAGATCATCATCAGATTCATTCTGGTTTCACTTTATATACATATATATATAACATATCTTTCAAAGAGATTTCTTTGCTTTTCGAGTTGTGTTAGATGCGTAAAGTTCCATAGAAGGGTTGATTTAATATGTGTAATCTTTGGTTTGTTCCTACAATGGAGTCTCGAGAGTGGAGAGGGCATGCACATATCCAAATTCAAATTTAGATTTAATATTCATTCATTGAATTACTCTTTCAATGGAGTTTCGCGGGTGGTGAGACGGTGCTCTGACCTTAAATCTTTCATAACAAAATTCTAAATCCAATTCAATATTCCGACAAATAAATTTGAATAAATAACTTAAAGATATCTTGTTTGCTCAACATAAATAGATAATCCAATTTCATTCTGATTAATTCTAATGAATTTCAAATGTGAAAAACTGTGGAAATGAGGACCGTTAGCTACCCACACACTGCAACTGCTAAGCAAACAAACAAAGCGATAAGCCAAACGGAAAATCATTTGAATTGAAATTCAAAGGCTAAGCAGCTGAAAGCACAAAGAATTTCGCATCAAATAATAAAATTTTGATGGAATATGATGTGAGAAATGTGTTTAGGTTTCTCAAAACTTGCACTTCAGCTGACGTAATAATATCAAAAATTTAGAAATACAATTACTTTTATATATTTAAAAAATATATTTAATTAATAAAGGAAAAACAAGTGCAGAAATTATATTTAGAACAACAATTGAGTGCGGAAATCTTGCCCTCGACTGCAACTGCAGGCGCATAACATATATAGTATATATTTAAGTTATATATAAATATAGATATATATATGCATAGTTATTTCTTATGGGAAACATTCATATGTATATAGATTTTGGCAAAAGCTGTGTGAGGATGACGCTGCAACGCGTCGTATGCGCAATTTGCCAAAGACCAAACAATCAGAAAAACAAATCAGACAAAGCAGACGCAACAGATACAGATACAGATACAGATACAAATACAGGTATATATCTGACAGATACAGATATACGCAGCTGCCTTGCAGTTCGTGCTAATGTGCAAAAATTTCACAAAAATCCGAAGCAAAAATAATTGTTGCTATGTTTTTTTTTTTTCTTTTATTGTTGTATAAATTGTTATTGCTATTGGCATTGTTGTTGTTGTTGTTGTTGCTATGTAGCCTAGCAGCATCGTTTGAAGCGAACGCCAAAGGCAACAGCAAATTTTCTAGCTAAACTTTTCAGTCACAAATATATATACACAAGCAAACAGACCTATATACATATGTGTGTATGTGTGTGCGTGGGCGTGTGTGGGCGTGCACACATAGCCATACACATCCATATGTATATATATTTATATACATATATTAAATATGTATCTACTTCGATCTGTGTAAATTTTGTGTTGAAAAATACAAAAAAGAATTTCGTTGCTCAAATTTTGTCTATTTCGTATTTCGAAATTGTTATTGTTGTTGCTGAGATTTTGTTTTTGTTTTTTTTTTTTTCATTATTTTGAAGAGATTTTTGAATTTGCTTTGGTCGGCCGCGTTCTGTTTTGTCTTCATTTTTAAATAGAACATTTTAGGCAGCCAACCATGTAGCGCATTAGCCATCGCATCCATCAGATACGATGAAACATTTCACCTACGGAACGGAACAAATTAATGAAATGCTTTACGAGCCGAAAACTTGTTACGAAAATTACGAAATTCAGTTTTAATTTTCCTACTGAAATTTGAAAACATTTTTGAATAACTTCTATCATTGCAAATACATATGAATAAAATATGGGTATGACATATCAAAGTAGATCACTTTTATTAACAAAGTCGCATATATTTTTCAGGCTCCCAATTCACAGTGTTCCTATATGTTTCACTTTGAATTTCATTCCTTATTAACCCAAATGTTAGTTTGAATTGTTTACGCCTTTTTATATAAGTATTATTCCATTATCTTATGTAATCATGTTCCATTCTGCATTCCAATGTGTGCTATAGCTAAGCAACCTGTTAGTAGGATATAACATTTTACATATACATTATATATCTCCATTCCAGGATTTATTCAGTGTTTCATTGTACGTTCCATTCCGTGTTTCATTCCATGATTTATTCAATATTTCATACCATGTTCCATTCCACGCTCCATACTGCATGATTCCTTGTTCCATTCAGTGTTCTATTCTGTTCTGTTTCATTCCATGCTTTTTCATTCCCTGTTTTATTTAATGTTCCATTCCATATACCATTTAATGTTACATTCCATGTACCATATAATGTTACATTCCATGTACCATATAATTTTCCATTCCATGTACCATTTAATGTTCCATTCCATGTACCATTTAATGTTCCATTCCATGTACCATTTAATGTTGCATTCCATGTTCAATTCCATGTTGCATTCCATGTTCAATTCCATGTACCATTGAATGTTCCATTTCATGTAACATTGAATGTTCCATTTCATGCAACATTTAATGTTCCATTTCATGTACCATTCAATGTTCCATTCCATGTACCATTTAACGTTCCATTCCATATACCATTTAATGTTCCATTACATGTACCATTTATTGTTCCATTCCATGTACCATTTAATGTTCCATTCCATGTATCATTGCAGAGTAAATTTCACTACATGCTTAATTGTTCCACTCCGTGTTCCATTCCATGTCTCATTCCATGCTCAAATTGTTTCTTTTCCACCTTTTTGATGAATCGACTCTAAAGTAGGCACTCGACCAATTCGTCTATGCCCCAACTGCTGCTGCTGGCTGTTTATGCTGCTGTCCTATTCGCGCCTCCCCACTCCCCGTTCCCCACTCCCATCCCATCGCATCTATTTTTAATGCTGAACGTCGTTTGAAACAGTTTTAAAGAGATTTTTAGTAAATGGCTAAGCAAATTTATGATGCCTCGATATTACTTTCTTCTCAATGATGTGTGTGTGTGTGTGTGAATGTGATTTTGTATGTGTGTGTGTGTGAATGTTGTTTTGCTTTTTGGTCAAGTTTTGTTGTGCGCTATTTTTGGACTTTGGCAAACAGGAAACGGCAGGCGGGCGGGCATTCGGTTAGCACAGATCAAGGTAAGAGTTAAAGGCTCACAAATACACAGACACACACACACACACAGACACATACACTCACTCATGTGAGGTGTGTATCAACATCATTGGAGTGCGTCAAAGCAATAGCAAACGTCATAAGTGCAGCCACAATTTGTTGTTGTTGTTGTTGCTTTTTTTTCTGTTTTTGAGCTCTTGCCCCATTGTTGGCAGCTGCAACCCCATTAGCCTTGTGCTCTACCTGGCAACAATTTGACGCCGTTTGCTGCGACCCATATTGTTCGAATCACACACACACACACACTCACACACACACGTCGACGCACACATTTGCATAGATGACGTGCAGCGTGCAGTGTGCAGCTGCGTGTAGATTGTGGGGCCAACGTAGCGGCAGCTAGCAAAAAGTTTGCACTAGTTTTCATTTCGTACGTCACTGTACGCCGACAATGACGTCATCGACCATTGCCAGCATCAAGAGCAACAGCAACAGCAGCAACAACTGCAACAGCAACAACAACAATGGAAGCTAATTGTTGCCCGTGCCGTTTCCAGTATCCCAGTCCCGCATCCCTTCGCCAGCGGCGGACTCGCCCCTGCACTGCACTGCCGTCGGCAAGGTCAGCCAGCGCTTAGCTCTTATGTCGCACAGATGCAGTGGATTCCAATTGAACTTTGGATCCCGAAGCGGCTCAGCGCTCTCTGACGTTAGCAACTGGCAGCTGGCAGCCCGCTCCAGGGCTCGCCTTGAACTGCTGCACTTGCCGTTTTGTGAATGAAAGCGCGTCATCAATGGAATCACAGTGCGCCCACAGCTAGACGAGGTCACTCCACACAGACTGAAGCGAGAGCGAGAGCGAGAGCGAGAGCGGGAGCCAGAGAAAGAGAGAGCGAGTGTGTGTCCATGGAACATTGGCCAGGTCCGCAATGGACGTTTAATTAGCTGGCAGCAGGCGTCATCTGATGGCATTGGATTTATTTATAGAACTCCACAAACTCAGCTTAAGCAGAGCCAATTACGGTGAATAATAACAAGTGTGTTCCATTGCCACACTTTTCACTCAGCACAGCAAACTCTAGTCATAATGCTGGATCAGAAGTAGTGTTCCATTCGCTGTTCCACTTGAAACTTGAATAGTGTACCATTCCATTTTTACTTTATATAATTGTGGTTACACTATGTTCCATACCATGTTCCACATTATGCTCAAGTCTTGTACAATTCCACGTTTCGTTCGACGTTCACCAAAGTGGCAATGGAACACACTTTTCACACAGCACAGCAAACTCTAGTCATAATGCTGGATCAGAAGTAGTGTTCCATTCGCTGCTCCACTTGAAACTTAAATAGTGTACCATTCCATTTTTACTTTATATAATTGTGGTTACATTGTGTTCCATACCATGTTCCACATTATGCTCTAGTCTTGTTCCATTCCACGTTTCGTTCGACGTTCCTCAATGTGGCAATGGAACAGACTTTTCACACAGTACAGGAATCTCTAGTCATAATGGTGGATCAGAAGTAGTGTTCCATTCACTGTTCCACTTGAGGCTTAAATAGCGTGCCATTCCATTTTTCACTTTATGTAATTCCATTGTGTTCCATACCACGTTCCACATTATGCTCAAGTCTTGTACAATTCCACGTTTCGATCGACGTTCCTCAATGTGGCAATGGAACAGACTTTTCACACAGCACAGCAAACGCTAGTCATAATGGTGGATCAGAAGTAGTGTTCCATTCACTGTTCCACTTTAAGCTTAAATAGTGTACCATTCCAATTTTCGCTTTATGTAATTGTGGTTCCATTGTGTTCCATACCATGTTCCACATTATGCTCAAGTCTTGTACCATTCCACGTTTTGTTCGACGTTCCTCATGTAAGCCTCGCTGTATGTTATGTTTCATTTTGCAATCCATCATAGTTGTATGCCACGTTCCGCATGTGATGTGTTTGTGGTTCAATGTTCCATTCTATGTCCCATTCCATGTTTCAATTTGTGGTTCAGAGATGTTTTTTATCATATTCTTGCTTAAGTCATGTTTCATTTTTTGGAGCATATTGTACTTAAGCTCTGTTCCATTCCATATATCAGTTTGTGATTCGAACACGTCGTAAAGTCATGTTTCATTCTATGTTGCACGTTGTGTGTCCGCTTCTTATACTCCTTGGATTTTCAATGTATTGCAACTACCTCAGTGTAATATAAGTTCCATTCCATAGAACCTGATTTTTTCCACGAATTCCTTGTGTTCCGGTACATTTCAGCTGCAAGCTGCATTTTATCACCGTCATTAAACATTCCGCAACAACTTATTATAAAATTCTAGCCACTTCACGCATTCATTGTTGCCAATCACTCGACTATTGAAGGACAACAATGATGCATATTATATTCCCAAATTCAACGATACAAATTCCATCAACTGCATTTCGATATACCCTGTACACGTGGAGAGTGGCCAAGGAACTCGTGCCATAATGTATATACTTTTAGATCCGGATCAACAATGTTTATAATTATCTCTTCACCTTGTCGACCCGACTCTGTTCTCTGCCCAGCCTTATGATCATAATGAATGAAAAATGTATTACATTTCCTTCTTATAGATAATGTCGTGAGAGAGGTACCCTATGTGTCTCAGATACCTCTATCTCTGTCTCTCTCTATCTCACGTTCTCTCTCCCTATCTCCCTCCCCATTAAGGCAGAAGTCATAATTACATATCTCTATATAGCAACAATATTATATAGAGTAAGACAGGGTAACTGCAAGTTAAGCACCGCTCAGCTCTTCCTTCCAAGCACTCTTACATATCCTGATTGTATTTTCTGTATTCAGTTTTAAATCGCTCTCATATTCAGCACCGTCAAGGACATCAATTGAATGCGGGAAAATTCCGGGATTATTATGGCACGTGCCCACTTCACGATCGAAAAGCTGCAAATGCAACTGTGAGTGCTGCTCAGAGTCTGAGCTCCCGACTCTCGAGGGATTTTAAATTGATTCCATTAGCCAGCTACATTGGGTGGACAACGAATAACAATTTTCCATTTTCATTGAGCCCCGATTGGCAGTGATAAGTGAATTGAATGCATCAATAATATTTACATACGCATTTCTATTTATTATCAACAGTATCTACATACGAATCTCTTTTCTCCTCAAGAAATATTTCTAACTGAAATATTAGAAAAGCGAATACGTAGCTAAATTACAATGCATAAATAAAAAACTTCTATTAAGGATTTTGGACAATTTTGTTAGCTCAATTAAGCTCACTCG